TGGTTTTTTTTTTTTTTTTTTCCTTTTCGACACGTTGGTGTCGAAAATTGACCAAAAAATCGACCTGTATGTGTCGAAAATTGCCGACGGGTTTCAAAAAAAAAAAACTTCAAAATCGACTTCGAAGCTCAAAAAAGACATCGATACTTACCTTAATGTGTTCTCCTTTCATATATACTACCATATTATTGTCTTATAACTCAATTTTATACGTTTTGTGAGGTTTTAATTTCTTTAGTTTTGATATTTTTTAGAAGGGTTTGTTGTGAGATTTTTTAGAAGGGTTTGTTGTGAGGAAGATTTTTTAGAAGGGTTTTTGGGGAGGGAGAAGAAGGAGGTGGAGAAGGAGGGAAATGGTTTTTTGAGTTTTTGATTATTTGGTATTTAAGAAAGAAAAATAGTATTTGTAATATTTTTTTAGTTTTAATTTCATTAAGGGTATTAAAGTAATTTACAATTAATTATTTATTTTTTATTTTTTTGGTATTCAAGTAAGCAAAAGTTGGGATTTGAAATAGTGATCCCCAATAAATAAACCTTGACTAGTTAAAGTATGGGCTAAATAATTGCCCGCTCTTTTGACAAAATGAAAATCACATAAGGAAAATGAGCAGATAATACGTAGGCTATCTTCAACGAATGCTCCATACGATGCTAGTGACTCATCTCCATCCTTAAAAGTGTTTATAACCTCTAGACAATCATCTTAAACACAACCGAACTCCATGTTTGATTATGTGCCATTTTGATTGCATGCATTGCCGCATGTGTTTCCCCGTCAATGGATCGCGGTCTGCCTTTGAAGCTGTGTACCGACCACCATTTGCATCATCCACCATGATCTCTACCAACTGCAGCGACCACATAGAAATCTCTGTTCGGCGGCAAAGAGACATCGAAGTTAACTTTAATAATCCCATCAGGTGTTGGGGTCCATGTCTGGCTGTGAAAAATCTTCATCCCTCACGCCGGTGGAAGTTGGGCCGTACGATAATAGTGCAAGTACTGACTGCACCAGGATAACAGATCAGCAGTTGGGATGCCTTCTTGTTCGTGCAACTCCTTATTTCGATTATCCCATGATTTTCAGGCCACAACGATGGCGAGTTGGATTATCATCTTTTTCGAGGTTGTTCCTCAACCTGTCGAGCCATTGCCACATAGTTGAACAAGCACGCATTCCTTGAAGCCAAAACGGAGCCTCTTCCCAAACCCTGCCCATGTCTTTACATTCTTGAACAACGTGCAACAAAGTCTCCGGCGAGGATCCACACCGAGAGCAAATCGGATTTGGGATAATTTTACGTCAGAAAAGCTCGGCTGCCGTGGGGAGGGTCTCCTTGCACGCTCGCCAAAGGAAGTGACATGTCTTCGACGGAACTCTAAGGTTCCATACATGTGACCAACGTCGATCTTGATTCCCACTAGAGGACTCCACTTTGTTGCCGCCTCCAACCAAACGTTGCATAGTTGAGTAGTAGCACGAGCGAACCGAGAAATGGCCGTTGCGAGTAAACCGCCAAACCCAACGATCATGTGATAGAGAGCTCAAATAGGCACTGCATAGATGCGGCCACAATCAATTGGCCAAAATATATCCTCAATGAGCGACGTATTCCATGAACCGGTCTCCCTATTTATAAGATCGGCTTTGCAGTTTGGTTGAGACGTGTTTATCGGTCGACGAGTGAAAACCTTCACACTACCCTCGTCCATTAGCCAAGGATCTGCCCAAATGGATGTTGTTTTCCCGTCCCCGATGCGCCGCCTAACCCCCATGCTCAAGGATGTACGGGCCTTGAGAAAACTCTGCCATGTTGCTGATGGTCTGACCCCAGCAACCGCACCAAATATATCTCCATCCGGAAAATAGCGAACTTTGATAATTTTGGAAAAGAGAAGATCGGGGAAAATAAGAACCCTCCAAAGTTGTTTAGCGAGGAGAGCTAAATTGAAGCTCCGTAGATCCCTAAAGCATATACCGCCCTCCTTTTTCGGAACACATAATTTGGACCAAGAGACCCGAGTAATTTACCGCCCCGAACTAGAACCCCACTAGAATCGCTTAATCGCCGACTCAAGCTCCTTGATTAAGCCATTCAGAAGGATAAAACAACTCATCATGTATGCTGGGATAACTTGGAGAACCGATTTAATTAATACTTCTTTCCCTGCCTTAGAAAGATGTTTATCTCCCCACCCCTTGATGCGGCCCCATAATCTATCACGTAAAAATAAAAATAGTTCATTTTTCGATCTTCATACAGAACCTGGCATACCGAGATACCTGTCATGCTGATCCACAATCTGAAATCCAAGGATATCCCGAATTTTTCCTTTACACTCAATCGAGGTCGGTGGCCCAAAACACATGGTCGTTTTATTCAGGTTAATCTCTTGGCCCAAAACCGTGGCATAGGTATCTAATATACTTTTGAGAGTGCGTGCATCTTCTTCAGTTACCCTGGAGAATAGCAATGTGTCATCCACTAAACAAAGATTAGATATTGTCGGAGCTGTCGGCGCCACCTTCACACCATTTAGTTCGCTACGTTCGACCGCTCTTTCCACCATCGAGATAAGAACTTCTGCACAACAGATAAACAAATATGGGGATAGTGGGTCACCGTGCCGAAGTCCCCTAGAAGGGATCACAGAGTCAAATTGTACACCATTGAATAAAAAAGAATAAGAAACGGTCGTCAGACAAAGCATAATTAAATCAACAAAATCGGGTAAGAAACCGAGACGAAGAAGGGTTTTTCTCAAAAAAGTCCACTCAACCCGATCGTACGCCTTGCTAATATTAAGCTTAACTGCCATAAAATTAGACTTGTTTCTAGATTTTGTCTTAATAAAGTGATTAACTTCAAAGGCTACTAATATATTATTAGTAATAAGTCGTTTAGGAACAAAAGCCGATTGAGTGGGGGAAATAATTTTACACAAGATAGGCTTAATACGGTTAGCAATGACTTTCGACCCTATTTTATAGACCACATTACATAAGCTAATAGGGCGATAGTCAGTGATTTTTTCTCGTTTGGCAATTTTAGGAATAAGAACAATATAGGTAAAGTTTAGCGCGGAGGGGATGATTCTTTTATTTTTTTCAGGTTTGGCAATTCCGTCACTCAGTCGGACACCACCCGTGAGGAGATTAGACAGTTAATGGGAGAATTAGAAAAATCGTACGGGGAAAACGACACATATTGGAGACAGAGGAGTAAGGTTCAGTGGATTCGGGAAAGAGATCGAAACACCAATTTTTTTCACTCTAAGGCAACGGCACGCAAACGAGCTAATACGGTAGACCAATTGAAAGATGATATGGGGATTTGGCAGACTCGAGCTGAGGATATCGAAAGAGTCGTTTCAGAGTACTTTGCGCACATTTTCCACTCCATTTCGTCGGCGGAAAGTGAGATAGACGGGGTGCTGGAATGCCTAAGTCCGATAGTGTCGAGCGTCGCGAGTCAAATGCTTTCTACCCCTTTCACTTCCTTAGAGGTAAATACTGCCCTTTCTCAAATGGCTCCATTGAAATCCTGTGGCCCCGATGGTCTTCCTGATGAAAACATTAAGAAGATTTAAAATTTCAATTCTTGTAGAGATCGAACAACAAAATGAAGAAGATTAGATGAATTGATGTTAGTTGTTGAAGTTGTAATATAATATTTAATGCAATGAACTTTAAAATTATAATAATTAAATGTAGAAAGAGAAACCGAAAAAACTTTAATTCAAATATTCTAATTTGAGGGTAAATTAGTAAATACTAAATAGGCTTTATTAGGTTCCTCATAATTACGTAAATGCCATTTTCTGGCCAAGTATCATTACGGTTATATTATTATTATTATTATTATTTGGAAGGAATATTTACTAATTTACACGCGGCAGTGAAATACAAGAGAGTATTATTACACATTGATTTGCACATAATCACACTCTCTCTGACACTCAAGTGTATATGTATTTGTATTTAGTATGAATTTATGTCACTGGGTGGCAGTTCCGAAACATGCATGAGGCACACGTGTTATCTCCAAGACCGAATCCTTCCTCCACGTCCACTACATAACTATTCCCTCTCACAAAGAAACTACATATATACCATACCTCAAACAAAAGCTTATTAAATCTCACTGATCCTGAAATTCCATATTATAAAAAAATAAAAATAATATTAGAAGAGAATCAAAAGGCAAAAAAAACTAAAGAATTAAATAATGGCGTCGAATCTGAACCCAAAGTACGCATACACGGTGGTGTACGTGAGTGACGTGGCCAAATCCGTCGCCTTCTACGCCAAAGCCTTCGGCTACCACGTCCGCCGCCTCGACGATTCTCGCCGGTACGGTTCTATACAATTATTGTTTTTTATTTCAATTTTTCTTAATTATGTAATCAATATATAATAAATTAATTATGTATATGAATTAAATCAGATGGGGAGAGCTGGAGAGCGGACAGACGACGATAGCTTTCACGCCGGCGAAGCAGCACGAGACCGAGGATCTCACCGGAAAAGTTCAGATCCCTCATTCCGACCGCCACAGGAATTCCGTCGAGGTCTGCTTCGATTATTCCGACGTCGATGCTGCCTACAAGGTCTGTGCGAATTAATCTCTGAGTTTTTTTTTTTTTGTTCTGAGTGAGATGTAATTTTTTATTTTTTGTTTCTGCGGCGGCGGCGGCGGCGGTGGTCGGAGCAGAGAGCGGTGGAGAATGGGGCGGTGGGGGTGAGTGAGCCGGAGGACAAGGAGTGGGGCCAGAAAGTCGGGTACGTGCGAGATATTGACGGGATCGTTGTCAGGATGGGAAGCCACGTGCGGCAGCAGTAAATGAACTCTACTAGTTATTTATTGTTAGATCATCAAGTATTTATGTATTTATTACAATAAAATTAGTATTATTAATAATAAAACGTGTTTTTTGTGGTATATAATATATTACGACGTCGTGCTGAGATTTAACTAGAGGTTTGAAAGTTTGGAATGAAAATTTCAATTTTCGTCGGTTCCGATGCAAAAAAATATCCGATTCGCAACAACTTTTCTCATTTCGATTTTCAAAAACTTCCTATGTTCTTGGATTGGAATTGGAGTTATATAAAAAGAAAATTGGAATTTCTGATATTCGATTCAATTTATTTTTGAAAATTAATTCTGAAAATCTCGAAATTTTGGAATTAATGTGATGTTTGAAAAATTTCGGGACTTTCAAAATTTTTGGGACTTTTGGAATATAATTAGAATGGATTTTAGATTATAAAAATTTGGAATTGAAATTGGAATTGTATATCAGCAAAAAGATTTGGATGTTTTTTGAAAAGATTAATTTCGATGCGTATCATCCTTGACTATCACCCATAACGCGAGTCGTGCTTCATTTGTTAATTTAAATGTACACGGTTTAATTCTACTTTGCATCTTTGATGTGTACCATTTTGTCAATTTATATCCTCGAAACAAATTAATAGGACTTTGTATCCTCGAAATTATTTATAAATCATGCATATGCACTCCAAATAAATTTTTTAAAGGTAATTTAATATTTTTAGTGGTATTCCTTCATGATGATAAATGTAAAATCAGTTTTTTTATTTATCAACTATTTTGAAACTATAAAGTGCAAAAATAAAAATACATCTCATCAACATATTTAAAAATTAGGTTAATGTCAAAGAGGCCCATGATATGGGCACTTAATTAAAAATAGGGGCATTCAATTTTTTTGTCTTTTAAATATATTCAACTCATTCAAACTTGTTGGAAAAAATAAGGAAAACCCTTTTATATATACAAAATTATCCACAATTCATTGTAACCCAATTCACCTCTAATTTCATGATTTACACCACAATTTAGCTCAATTTCACCAATGAACAAATTTTGACCTTAATTTCAATTTTGACCACAATTTTGACCCGCCACCACCGGACACCGCTGAGGACCGTCGGTCTCTGGCATCGACTTTTTTATTTATTTTTTATTTTTTGATTTTTTTCGGTAGGTCAACCGTCGTTGACTTTTTTTTCTTTTTAAATTTTGTTTTTTCCTGAAAAAAATATTTTAATTAATATTACTGTCTTGCCTGCTAAATTATTGTCTCCAGCAATTATTTAACTGTTGGAAACAGTAACTTAACTTTTACATGACTATTTTTTTTGTTAAAAAAAATATTTTAATTAATATTACTGTCTCCAGCAGTTATTTAACTGTCGAAGACAGTAATTTAATTGTTAATTGACTTTTTTTTCTTTAAAAAAATATTTTAATTAATATTACTGTCTTAACTGCTAAATTACTGCCTCCAACAGTAATTTAACTATTGGAGATAGGGCTGGAAAAAAATTACCGAATACCGATTACGACGATATACCTACCAAAAATTACCGAATAAATACCGAACTATCGGTTACCACTACATTTGGTACGGTATTGGTACCGTACCATTAGTTTACGGTACGGTAGCGATATTCTATCTTCAATACCATGGTAATACCGTACCGTACCGCAACTTTGTATTTTAAAAATTAGTTAATATAGATTTCCTTTTATATTGTTAAATAAAAAAATATAGTCAACAAATAACAAAAAAAAAAAAAAAACAAGAACAAAGATATGATACATCCTATATATATACATAATTATGATTTTTTTTATTCTCTTCATATATTTATGCAAACTCACTATTAGCCTCTCGTTAAGTTATTTATGTCCATGCGCACTTCTTTAGTTCTAAAGTCTAACGAAACTCTTATTAGTGGAATTCTTTCTACAACAATTTTCTTCTCTCTTCCCCCAGGTCCAAGCATTTTGTTTCATTTGCATTATTGCAACATTTTTTATTTTTTTGTTTCTTTTAGTTAAACCATTAAACTTTCTTACTCATTAGTTTCTACAATTTTTCTATAGATATATTAGTAAGCATTAGTTAGCTAAAGCAAAATTTTCTGCTACGATTGTATAATGTATATTCATGTAGATTGCTTAGTTGCCATAATCATTTGCTTAATTTGTTGTATTTATATTTTATACATTTAGTTAGTATTCATCTTAATTATTGTATTATTTGAATTCATCATGTACGGTAGATTACCACGTACCGATCATAGCGTACCGAAACTAACGGTATACCGTAATTGTTGGTACGGTAACGGTATAGATTTTTTCAATACCGCAAGATACGGTAGGTACACGGTATTGAACAAAAAATTCGGCAACCGTACCCAAATCACCCCTAGTTGGAGACAGTAATTTAACTGTTAAATGATTTTTCTTTTTAATTTTGTTTTTTCTTAAAAAAAATGTTTTAATTAATATTATTGTCTTGATTGCTAAATTACTGTCCGCAACGGTAATTAAACTACCAGAAAAAAAATGTTTTAAAAAAAAAAAAGAAAAAGAAAAAGTCAACGCCGGAATCTGGCCGAAAAAAATATCAAAAAAAAATTATTTTCTGAAAAAAAAAATCAAAAATTTATTAAAATGGGGGTTAATGTGATATATTTGTTTAAAGTCGGGGTCAATGTGTAATATTAAGGAAGTTAGAGTATAATGTATGGAATTGATAACAATTATATTATGGAGGGTATTTTAGACTAAAGACATGGGGATGATTTATTTGTAAGACTTTTTTTTTTGTGCACCAATGTGCAGTTAAGTTTCTTGGCATGTCCATCTTTGCCATTTGCTGTTAAACATTATGTCTTTGACCATAAAAAAAATATGGAAAAAAAAATCTTCAACTATCAAGTTATCTGAAAAATTTTGAAAATTATGCCTTTTATTTGTTCGCACTTTGTGCACTCGAAATTAGGTTGGAAGTTGAAGAAAATAGAATCCCTGAAAGAAAAAAAAACCAATAAAACATGAAATTGCATTTATTATTCAATTTATGGTGCATTGTGAATGATTTATTGTGTTTCGAGGGTGCAAAGTGCTATTATTGTTTTCAAGGATGCAGAGTAGCAAAATACTCTAATTCAAAGGTGTAAAGTGGAATCAAGCCAATGTGCAGCATACTAATTAAAGTAAGGCAAAAGAAAATTGTCAAATCTTTCAGAAGAAATCAAAAGAACCCATCCTAAAATCGTGCCAACCCGACCTTAATCGCGCTTCAAACAGAAAAAAAAATGGGCGTCAAATCGACCTCCCTATCGAGATGCGCAAAGGCCACTCAAAATACGCGCGAATCGGTTGAAATTGGTCGAGAATTGCGACAACAATCGCTAGTGTTTTGTATTAGTCGAACTAGGTTGCGAGTTTTTTGTTTTTTTTCAAAATTTGAAGAGAGAAAAAATTAAGTTGGGGATCCGTTTGTAGCAATAAATTCTTATCTGCGATTTAGACAAACAAGAAAACTTGCACAAAAATAATTTATTGAATTAAAATAAAATATTGCTGGTTACAAACTCTAATTTAATCCTCTGATTCTTCTCTCAAGAACAATATATGTTGACTTTGAATTTCGGAGTCGGGTCGCTGACTTGATCTTCTCCGGATTTGATTTGGATTTAAATAACGTCTTCCGAGGGTCTTGCGACTTGAATCTCGGATCGAACGTTGAACTTTGACGGGTTTTGACTTGAAGATCTTGAAGTTCTTGATGGATTTGGCCCTTCAATCTTCCTTCAATTTTGACTTGAAGATCTTGGAGTTCTTGATGGATTTGGCCCTTCAATCTTCCTTCGATCTTGATTTGTTGAAGAAAGCCCTCGATTTGATGAAGAACCTTGAAGATCTTGGAGTTCTTGATGGATTTGGCCCTTCAATCTTCCTTCGATCTTGATTTGTTGAAGAAAGCCCTCGATTTGATGAAGAACGCCTTGAATTTGATGAAGAACGACTTGAATATTGTAGAGAGAATTTTCTCCTACGTTTTTTTCTGCTTCTTCAGTTGTGTTCTGAATTGTGTAAGGAGGGTCCCTATTTATAGTGGTAGAATAAGAGTCCTACTTAAAGTCTGTTTGATGACGTGGCGCGATTTGATTGGCTCTCTTTAAATTGATATTTATCTCTTATAACTTGGAAGAGAAGAAATAATCCTATTGGTCAATAATTAATTGATAATTATCTCCATAACTTATTTTGCAAGATAATTTATAATTTAATTTAGACACAATTTAATTGGCTAATTTAATTAACCAATTAATTAATTTTATGCGTCTACAAATGCCCCCTCGAGACTTGTTCACGGACAATGCATCTTGGAGTGAATGAGTCTCGATAATTGCTCAACTTCAACTGCAGCTCGATCTAGCAAAGCACATATATCTTTTGAAATTATGACTGGACTTAGAGAGATTCTAAGTTGCCTACGTACCCTATAAATGGATCAAGTCATAACGTAGTTCAATATATATCCTTTTGAGGGATGTCGTGCACAGTTTATACTCATGTGGACAAGGAGAAATATATGCAGTTTAAACTCATGCTGAAGGAGCATTTGACTTGAATTTGTAGATAGTTTACGCTCGTATCAAGGAGCCTTGACTTGATTTGAATATGTAGATAGTTTATGCTCGTATCAAGGAGCCTTGACTTGATTTGAATATGTAGATAGTTTATGCTCGTATCAAGGAGCCTTGACTTGATTTGAATATATAGATAGTTTATGCTCGTATCAAGGAGCCTTGGTTTGATTTGGATATGTAGACCTTTTAAACTCGTGTCAATGAGTACTTCATTTGATATGGACATGTAGACCTTTTAAACTCGTGTCAAGGAGTACTTCGTTTGATTTGGATATATAGACCTTTTAAACTCGTGTCAATGAGTACTTCATTTGATATGGACATGTAGACCTTTTAAACTCGTGTCAAGGAGTACTTTGTTTGATTTGGACATGTAGACCTTTTAAACTCGTGTCAATGAGTACTTCGTTTGATTTGGACATGTAGACCTTTTAAACTCGTGTCAAGGAGTGCTTTGTTTGATTTGGACATGTAGACCTTTTAAACTCGTGTCAATGAGTACTTCGTTTGATTTGGACATGTAGACCTTTTAAACTCGTGTCAAGGAGTGCTTGATTTGATTTGGACATGTAGA